TTTTTTTTTTTTTTTTTTTTGTGACTGAGACTCTCTCTGTCGCCAGGCTGGAGTGCAGTAGCTCGACCTCAGCTCACTGCAACCTCCTGCTTTTTCCCTCCAAAAAACAGTGTCTCGCTCTGTCGCCCAGGCTGGAGTGCAGTAACGTGATCATGCCTCACCGCAACCTTGACCTCCGGGATTGAAGCGAGCCTCCCGCCTCAGCCTCCTGAGTGGCTGGGACTACAGCCATTCACCAAGCCTGGCTAACTGCTTTTGTAGAAACAGGGTTTTGCCATGTTGCCCAGGATAAGAATTTTTTCTTTAGAAATCTGGAAATTGCCTTTAGGTTCCCTTGGGAGTAGGAGAGAAGGCCATGAAGATTCGCACACAGTCACTCCTAGAAAATTGCGCTGGGATAGGTTGCAGAGAAGGCCAAAAACACTAGTTTCTCCTCTGCAAAGTCCATCAAAGGCGTTGTTGAAAAGGAATGGCTCTACCACTGTTTGAATCAATTCTCTGCAGCTTATCTCTTGGAGGGGGGTGAGGGGGAGGGGCGGGGGGCACGTGAACTTTTAAGACTTTAGGCCTTCTCATAAATATGATCCACACTCACAAAAACTTAGAGGCAGAGGGTATGTTAACCCAGATTAAGAATCCCTACCGCAGAGGAAAACACTGGTGAGCTTCGCTGAAATCACACGGGCTGCGCACTTTCCACGCCCCCTCCCTCTGCGCTACAGGAATCCGCTGTACCTCTGACGGCCCATAGGTGGCAATGCAGGGACAGGTAAGTGCACCGGGAGCGCCAACCGGCTAGGCCTATAGGAGGCGGGGCTTTAATGCGTCAAAACGTGGCGGGAGGAGCCTAAGGAGGGGCGAGGAAAGGCGAGTGTTCTACTTGCGCAGGCGCCGTGCTGTGCGCTCCCCCAGGAGTGAGGGTTGCTGGGCCTGATGACGTGGCTTGGCAACGTCCCTACCGGCGCTGCCTCGGAGGAACCGAGCGCCGCCGGAACTGCCCGCGGCCTAGTCACGACGCGCGTGTGTTTGTGAGCCGGAGCCAGGGACAGCGGCAACGGCGGCCTGGCCTACAAGAACCCGACGGGGCCGCTGCCATGGGGGAGTGATGAGTCTGCGCCCGCTGTTCCGCGGCAGCAGCGAGACATGAGGAGACCCCGCGGCGGTGGCAGCGGCGGCGGCTCCTGAGCCCTGGGATGGAGGAGAAATACGGCGGGGACGTGCGGGCCGGCCCTGGCGGCGGCGGCGGCGGCGGCGGCCTCGGGCCGGTGGACGTACCCAGCGCTCGGTAAGGGACTGATCCGGAAGGCAGCCACCTGTCGGACCGCTCCAGATACACTTCCCCGCCCTCCCTCCGGTCCCTGATGATAGTCCGGGAGTCCCGGGGTCGGCGCGCCCTCTCCCTCTGCCTCCCTCCCTGCGCGCAGGCTGCCTCCGGGCTCCCCGGGTACCCGCTGCAGAATGAAGGCGCGAAAGCCAGAAAGCTTCTGCTTGAATTTCTGGGTTTCAAGGCAGTCAGTCAGTCTTAGAACTGCTCGCCAGTTCACGTGAGAGGTTTTTCTGATCTGTGAGAAGCCTTTCTCTTGGCTGTTTCTCCATGAAATAGTCCGGTGACTACTTAGCCGTTCTGACGTTTCCCTGCATAAATTAGGGGAAGGCGTCACCATCATCTCTCTTCAGGCGACGAAACCAAAGTACACACGTGAACTTGGATGTTCAGGTTCACTCAGCGCATAGAGTCCAGCCCCATTTTCTTTTTGTATTTTATTCTTAGATAAGAAGTGTGTCCTCTTTGTCAAATTTAAACAGCACAGCAATTCATAGAGTAAAAAGTGAAAATTCCCACTTACTCTCTACAATTCTTCCACCAACCCCAAAAGTAAGGGAGCAAGTGGTGCAGTGACCTCTTCAAGTGTGTGTCCTTCGAAGATAGTGTCAAAAATGAGTTCTGAAATAGTGTCCAAAATGCGCAGAATATAGCCCTGCAACTTGGTTGGAACGGGTGTTCATTGCCTCCATTTCTAATGGGTTTTTCTCATTCTGGAATACTTTCTTTGATATTTAAAGAAAGTGATACATTTTGCTGAATTCTTTAGAATTGTAGTAATAGCATTATAACGTAACCAATTTTTATGAAAATAGAAGAACGCCGCATATAATGGAATAGAACTTAAACCAACTGCATTTTTGTAGCATAAATTTAATTTTCTAATCTATTGAGACATGACAACTAAATGCAATCCGCATTTCTGGTCTGATTTGGTAGTAGGGGATATGTGCTTTAAAGGACGTTACTGGGTCAGTTGACAAAATTGGACTATGGACAATAGATTAGATAAAAGTATCATATCAGGCCTGGCTCAGTGGCTCAACACCTGTAATCCCAGCACTGTGGGAGGCTGAGGTGGGCGGATCACCTGAGGTCAGGAGTTCCAGTCCAGCCTGGCCAACATGGTGAAACCCCGCCTCTACTAAAAAAAAAAAAAAAGAAAAAAAAAATAGTCGGGCGTGGTGTGCCCCTGTAATCTCAGCTGCTCAGGAGGCTGAGGCAGGAGAATGGCTTGAACCCAGGAGGTGGAGGTTGTGGTGAGTTTGCACCATTACACTCCAGCCTAGGCAACAAGAGTGAAACTCCAGAGAGAGAGAGAATAATAAATCACATGGGATGATATATTAACAATCAGGGGATCCAGGTAAAGAATATGCTACTCTTGTAACTTTTACCTAAACTTGAAATTATTTTTAAATGAGCAGTTTAAAAGCATTATTTATTCAAGAGTGTACTGTCTCAGGTAGGGAAATGTGGTACACAACCCTTTGCTATTTTATTTGTACTATTTACTTAGCAGAGTTGCCCTTCTATTGTAGTTTATTGCAGAATCAAATTCAACCTAAGACTAGTTGAATTTTGATGGATTCCAGGTTACAAGAGTAAAGGAAGGATGAGGTCCTGGATTGAAAATGTGGAGATTAAAAAAAGTTTCCCCTCTTAACTCTGCCTCCCATTCTCTCATTTAACTCCAACATCTCAAAAGCCAGCCTTCAACCTTCTGGGAGGACTCTTCTGGAAAACTTACTAAACCTCCAGCAATTGTCTAGGTATAAAGTAAATATAGGCTGAAGCAGGAGGATCACTTGAGCCCTACAATTTGAGACCAGCCCTGTAACATAATGAGACTCTCATCTCCATAAAAAATACAAAAATTAGCCAGGCACAGTGGTAGTGCCTGTAGTTGTAGCTACTTGGGAGAGTAAGGCAGAAGGATCACTTGAGCTTGGGAGGTCAAGGCTACATAGAGCTATGATCCCACCACTGCACTGCAGCCTGGGTGACAGTGCGAGACCCTGCCTCACCTCCCCTCCCCCTAAAAAAAAAACTCCAAAAAAAAAAATGACAACAAAAAGTAAATGTATATGTACTAGAAAAAAAAAGAACATGAAAAACACTCTTAGAGATTTTAGTGGTTTCTTCCTTCCTTTCTTCCCTTTTTCTTTCCTTCCCTCCCTTCCTTCATTTCTTCCTTTCTTCTTTCCTTTCTTTTCTTTTCTTTCTGACAAGATTACTTCCTCTGTTGCCCAGGATGGAGTGCAATAGAACCTTCATGGCTCACGGCAACCTCGAACTCCTGGGCTTAAGCAATCCTCCCACGTCAAGCTCCCCAGTATGTGAGTCTACAGGTGTGTACCATCATGCCCAGTTCTTTTTTAATTTTTAGTAGAGATGAGGTCTTGCTATATTGCCTAGGTTGGTCTCAAACTGCTGGGCTCAAGCAGCTCTCCCTCGTCAGCCTCCCAAAGTGCTGGTATTAGAGCCATGAGCTACCATGCCTGGCCTGGATTCTTTGATTTTTAAAGTTGCAATTAATGAACTGTTGGGCTAAAGATGAAAAACCAGGCTAAGTAAGCACATATGGATAAGCAGATAATCCTAGTTCAATTTATGAAGGAAAAACAATTAAAAGCTTCAGTTTATTAGGAGTTGAAGACAGGAGAGGAGAAGAAAGGGAGACTAATTTTTAAAAACTTTTTGGAGACAGGGTCTCGCTATATTGCCCAGATTGGTCTTGAACTCCTTCTGCCTAAGCTTCCCAGGGTTAGGATTACAGGCATGAGCCACTGTGCCTGGCCCGCTCCACCCTCCTCCCCCCATTAATTTATAAACCATTATTTGCCATTAACTAGTCTCATCAAAGGTTATCACTGGTCTTTTCTGTGAAGGTTTAGAAAATTCCCTGCTTCTGTGCTGGGCAGGTGGCTTACACCTTTAATCCTAGCATTTTGGGAGGCCAAGGCAGGAAGATCACCTGAAATCAGGAGTTCGAGACCAGCCTGCCCAACATGGTGAAAACCCATCTCTACTAAAAATACAAAAATTAGCCAGGTGTGGTGGTGGGCGCCTGTAATCCCAGCTACTTGGGAGGCTGAGGCAAGAGAATCACTTGAACCCAGAGGGCAGAGGTTTCAGTGAGCCAAAGTAGTGACAATTTACTCCAGCCTGGTGAAAGAGTAAAACTCCATCTCAAAAAGAAAAAAAAAGGAAAGAAAATACCCTGGTTCTCTAAACCTGGAATTACTGAAATTTGGATTTAGGTTCAAACCTGCCTCTTGGGCTTTGTCTACTTCAGTAGCTCAACAGTTCTCTGGCTAAAAAATAAAAATGTAGTTGAGGTTCAGTTTATTCAATAAATATTCAAGTATCTACTACGTAGAAGACACTATACATGGGGTTTGAAACAACTCGGACTCCCAGCTCATTTATTACTTGTATGACCTTGGGTAAAGTACTTTTCTTTGATTCAGTTTTGTGAAACAAGGATACCACTTCTTATTTTGCAGAATTGTTGTAAGAATTAAATGAGATGATATATTCAGACCACTTGGAACATAGCAGGTGCTCAAGAAATGTTAGCTGTGACCCTCTGCCCTTCCCAGCCAAGAGGACTTAAACCGAAATAAAAACGTTTGCTTAAAATAATCCAAATTTGGGCCGGGCATGGTGGCTCACGCCTGTAATCCCAGCACTTTGGGAGGCCGAGGCGGGTGGATCACGAGGTCAACATGGTGAAACCCCGTCTCTACTAAAAATACAAAAAATCAGCTGGGCATGGTGGCACGTGCCTGTAATCCCAGCTACTCAGGAGGCTGAGGCAGGAGAATTGCCTGAACCCAGGAGGCGGAGGCTGCGGTGAGCCGAGATCGCGCCATTGCACTCCAGCCTGGGTAACGAGAGCGAAACTCCGTCTCAAAAAAAAAAAAAAATGATCCATATTTGTGAACGACAGCATAAAAATACCCATAATTAAATGACTTGTCAACTAGTTTTTGTTGCAGATTAAAGCTAGTATTTGATTTTTAGTCTAAAGTAAAACTTTTGCAGCCTGGAATCCATCAAAATTCAACCAGTCCTGAGTTGAATTTGATTCTGCAATAAACTATAATAGAAAGGCAACTCTGCTGAGTAAATAATACAAATAAAATAGCAAAGGATTGTGTACCATGTTTCCCTATCTGAGAGACTACACTCTTGAATAAATAACGCTTTTAAACTACTCATTTAAAAATAATTTCAAGTTTACGTAAAAGTTCTATAGTATAATTACCTATACAACTGTTGAGTAATATATTTACCTAGATTCCCTGATTGTTAATGTATCATCCCATGTGATTTATTATTCTCTCTTTCTAAATGCACACACAGGTATTTTTTCCCCTGGACTATTTGAAAGTAAGTTACATACTTCATGATTCTTATCTTTAAATACTTATTTTTCCTAAGAACATGGACATTCTCTTATAAAACCAGCAGAGTGGTCTACTTCAGGAAATTTAAGTGACCTCGCCAGAGGCTAAGACTCTACTGACTCCTGTAGTGGTTGAGGAGAGATGGTTGCCTGCCTGCTGGGCAGGAACCTGAGGGTCTGATTACTTGGAGATCCTCCTCTTTTCAGCTTCTCATTCCCCTACTGAGGTGTTTCCAGTGCCTTAGCCTTTTTAGGACTCTAAGTTCAGTCAATTGACCTTTCAGCCACAGCTCTCACTGTAGTCACTTAGCAAGGCGAGGAGGCGCAAACCAAAAAAAGTCATTTACCATTCTTCCTATATTGTGGTCTTTTTGTTTCATAACAGAATAGTTTTTATTTTGTTCCCCTTATTTGTTTGGAGGAGTTACTAAGTTAGAAAGCAGATAACAAAATAGTCCAGCAACTCAATCAAGAAAATTTTCATTTTTAGTCTGGCATTTTTTGTTAGACTATATCTATACATAATCATTCATAAACATTGAAAATAAACCAGAAGTATATATACCAAAATGTTGTGGTTGGTTGGTTAGTTGGTTGGTTGGTTTTGAGATGGAGTCTCGCTCTGTTACCCAGGCCGAAGTGCAACTTCTGCCTCCGGGTTCAAGACATTCTCCTGCCTCAGCCTCCTGAGTAGCTGGGACTACAGGCATGTACCACCATGCCCAGCTAATTTTTGTGTTTTAGTAGAGATGAGTTTTTACCATGTTGGCCAGCTGGTCTCAAACTCCAGACTTCAGGTCATCCACCTGCCTCGGCCTCCCAAAGTGCTGGGATTACAGGCGTGAGTGCCTAGCCTGTTTGTTTGTTTTTTGAGACAGGATCTCACTCCATCGCCCAGCGTGAAGTGCAGTGGCATGATCACAGCTAACTGCAGTCTCAACCCTCCAGGCTCAGAAGATGATCCTCCCACCTCAGCCTCCTAAGTAGCTGAAACTGCTGCCATGCACCACCATGCCTGGCTAATTCTTTCTATTTTTTGTAGAGATAGGCTTTTGCCATGTTGTGCAGGCTACTGCACCTGGCCAAAAAATGTTAACGGTAGGCTTGGCACGGTGGCTCACACCTATAATCCCAGCACTTCGGGAGGCTAGGACAGGAGGATCACTTGAGCCAAGGAGTTCGAGATTAACCTGGGCAACATAGTGAGACCCCATCTCTAATTAAAAAAAAAAAAGTCAATGGTAATTATCATGTCGTTGGTGAGTTGTTTGGGGACTTTGCTTTGTTTTATTTATTGTTTATGTATATTTCTATAGGTTCAGTAATGACCTCTTGTTATAATTAAGAAAACCAGATTGATAAATTGCTTGTAATTTCAGTGATACTAAAAATTGTTTCTGCTTTTATTTTTCAGATTAACAAAATATATTGTGTTACTATGTTTCACTAAATTTTTGAAGGCTGTGGGACTTTTTGAATCATATGATCTCCTAAAAGCTGTTCACATTGTTCAGTTCATTTTTATATTAAAACTTGGGTGAGTGTGTGGTGTTTTTTTTCTTGGTATTTTTATTTCTTTAAAAATCCTGTTTTAACAGAGCATCTTTAAGAAACTTTACATAGAATATTTTGTTTTGTTTGTTCCTCCTGACAAGTGTTTGATAAATGTTTTTAACTGGGAGAATACTTAAGATTAGAGGTACAAAAAGACTGAAAAGAAAAGGGATTGTTGTGCTCTAACACTTGCCTAAACAAAGAGTTTGATGAGATTTTTGCAAATTTATTTTAATATTTGGCTTAATAGAGGATAACCAGATTCTCATAACTGCTTCAGCGTTCAATACTGCTGTAGTATTAGCAACTTCTCTCTGCACTCCTGGGAGAATAAGAGTGAAAGGGGCAGATAATGTCTTGATGTTTTTATGAAAGTGATTTTAACCTTGGTGACTCCCTGAAAGGGTCTCAGGGACGCTAGGGATTCCTAGACCATTTGACACAGACTAATCTTCAGACAGTCACAGGATGTTACCTGAGGCCTGTCTTCATACAGATATTCCTTATTTTCTAAGTTAAACCTTGCTGCGATATGTTCACTACATAATCCTTTCTTAATACAGAGTCCTCATGCAGTATGAACGTCAAATTATTCTACATGTGAGAAATTCTAAATAAAGAATTCTTGGACCTCAAGATTGTTAGTGACTACCCTCTGTGTTGATAAAAACCTGTTAAAGGCCGGGCGCGGTGGCTCAAGCCTGTAATCCCAGCACTTTGGGAGGCCGAGGCGGGTGGATCACGAGGTCAAGAGATCGAGACCATCCTGGTCAACATGGTGAAACCCCATC